TTTTTCCAATGTAGAAATCCTGGCAGTCCCAACAACTAGCCTTATACACAACTTTTGACAGTTGGGAACGGGTGATCCTATCTTTGTAGGGAAATAAAGACTTGATGCGATAAGCTTCTGTCATTGTAATTGTTAATTAGTTACTTATTTTAAATTGAAATTTAGTAGTTACTTCTATTCCTAACGGTCATTTCTGAACTGAAGATGTATGTTGAAACATACGAAACGTCAGGTAAATGAACTTTGCTTTTTAAAATGCGTTTTATTGCCATGTTTATCACCGCAGTTTGCGTATTATTTCTTATCAAGCTACGATGGCCAAAGAAAAAGAGTATTTACGACAGTTAAAAGCTTACTTAAGGGATTGACGCTAAACAAATATCACATTATCACAAAATGGGAAATGATCATTACAGACAAAGGTACATCAGGGAACTTGCGGCCTGTAAATGCGAGTACGCAGTGAAAAGTACAAGCACCTACCCAGTACTACATTTAGAATAAGGAAACCTTGAGTTTCTAGACATTGTACAGATAAGACTTGAACAAAATATATTTCTAGCATGTGCTTTTGGTGGAGCTGAAAGGCTTATTTCAAAGGGGATTTACAGGTCAGGTTATAGTTACCTGAGGGAATAATTCCAACAACAACTCTTATCACGGAATGAATAAAGGACTCACCTTGCAGTTGAAAATTAAAGCAAAAATTCTTTCCTACTACTTTGAAAATGAATCGCATCGGTACAATGACTGATGGCAGGCGGGAATCTCACATCAGTCTTTCTTTCAATAATCGGGCGCTTATTCATGGTGCGCTGAAAAGGGGCCAAGTCAAGACCTTATTAACATATTTACGCGGCACTAATCAAAGCAAACGGATTAGATACAGCACGCTTAAGCACGTTTCAATTGCTAGCAAATCGTGCATGATAATCGCATAGCTTGAGTACGGTAAACATCGCTTCGTACGAGAAATCCATTTTTAGTGGCCATGTTACAAAACAATTGAGTCATGCTTTTTAAAGCATAAGCTTAAAAGCTGTAGCTATGGATGCACCTGGGAAGCTTGGAGAGCACTCAAGAAGCTAGAGTTACTTTCGGTTGTACCTATAGAGTAACTCGCACGCTTCTCAGGTCGTGCTCTCCAAACGTCGTGCGTGCGTCGGAATTCGAAGATGCATGTATCATAATTTTAAATGATACATCTAGAGTCGAGGATCACAAAAAGGCTATCTAAAAGATAGAAAGTGAAGAAAGTGAGAGAGGTGTAAAATGGAGTGGGGGTAGGTTGAAGATTGCTCGAGGCATTAGAGAGTATCAGAAACTGTTGAGCGTGGAGACTGAGAGGGTGCACTGAGGGTTACATCCTCTCTTGACGGAACCACGAGATTGTAAAAGCAAGGCCAAGAATTTTTACTATCTATGAACATTTGCCATGGATCTCATCATTATTGCATTATTGCAACAATAGTCCATTGTTCAAATTACCAAGACCATGCGAGATCGTTCAGCCTTTGAGCAAACACAGAAATATCATGGACATACGACATGTATCAATAAAATGGAGAGCATGATTAAAAATCTTTATTTTGATTACAATTAATAAACTTTTTAGTCATCTTTTTTTGTGATCCTGTATCAGCTTCCCTTTGATTCTTAAATATTCAAAGACTCAAAGTAGATGTACCAAGGCGGGCAAATTTATTGTACGGATTTAGAGAATCTACTTAAGAAAAAATAAGGCTTTGCATTTAACACCTTGAGAATCTCTTTCAAACAGCTCACAAAAGCCAGTGGGAGAAAAGGATCTGTCCGATCGGTTTATTCTTAAGTTGTTAATTGCGTGGGAAAGGTCACATATCTTGCTGTAAATAGTTATTATTTAGCAATGAACCTGGCTATCCGGATAATATCCGTTTAATTGGACCTAGGATTATAGGTTTATACGCAGTGGAATTTAAAAGTAATCAGTGTTAGGTTTAGCATAATTCTAAGAATAACAATAGGTAACCTCTCACGCTCGTTCAATCCCCTACGGTTTTTATTTTGCTCCTGCTCTTTAAGATCAGAAGAGGAAATCAAAGGTCTTTGGAGAGACTAGTATCTTCGATCGAGAAAGAAAGGGTTATTATCTTTACATAATTTTTGTGTCTCTACAAATTCAGAGGGTCATGGTATTGTTGTAAAAACCTAAAAATAACCATCCTGCAGTGACTTCTCCTATGAAAATGAAACAATTTTGCAGCATGTCTACTACACAGATATTGTCATCATAATCATTATCATTATATATACCAAGTTGCCTCGACTTTTCTTATAAATTTGTTATTAATACTTGGACTGCTATTCTCCAAGATATCAGCGTTTACGCTACACCATAGCACTTCAGTTTTCCCAGCGTATGGTAACTTTCCTCACTGCTACGTACTGCCTGTATCCCCAAACCTGTGCTGTTTAACTGGCAGATGTGTCTTGTCAGTGACGAGACTGCTGTCTTCACGCCATACAAGGCCAAGCGCATCACAGTTACAACCATAACTGGGTTCCGCACATGAGTTGGTCATCCCGAATGCGCACTTACCACTGCCAGGAGATGGACATCATTCATACCCGACGGGCCTCTCGGTCTCACGGGACCGGGATCTGCCAGCATTCTAATATCCCCTTTTATACCCATCGGTCTTGACTTCCTACTGGTCCATGTTTGCCAGGAGGTCTTTTTAATCCGGGTCTCCCTCGGGTTCCCTCTCATCCTTGTCTTCCTGTGTTCCCTTTTGGTCCTGAACGGCTGAGCGTGTGATCTTTAGCACAGACTTGGTTTTGCAGAAGACCAAGTTCTTGTTTGATCAATACAAGATTAATTAAGGTTGATTTCTGCTGTGAATCGC